TTGGCTTTTATTGTTGGAAACTATTCATTATAAACCAATTCAAGGGATACGAGGTTTTGACATGATAATCCACATCATTTACTATATAATTTATATCTAATGTGAATTTTCAGATAATCTCATTGATTTCGATATTATTTATTAAAATCTGTGAATAATAATACATGGGGCATAAGGACTACAGTATAAACCATCTAAAAATTTATTTAGTACATGTCAAATATTGTAAATAATGTTTATAATTTCTAATAATATTTTGAATAAACAATAAATGCATTAAAATTTAAAAATATATAAATGCATTTGTCATTAAAATAAGTAATTTATAAATAAAAATAATAAAAAACTATATAGATAATAATTAACTCAAATATAAATGACCATGTCACATATTCTGTAGTCTATATGCATAGAAATTAGTCTTTTCAAAATCGTCATTAATGATTTAATATTTAGACAAAAAATATTTTTTATGATTTATGTAATAAGATTTATGATTAAGTATATATAAGTATGTTTATCACAAATAATTTAAATTTACAAATGTAATTAAATTCATAATGATATTAATATGCTTTAAATATTTTTGTTAATTTTAAGACTTTATTGCAAAAATATAGAAACGTAGGCACAGGGGGACAGTAGTTCAGGTGTTGGATAAACATCAGATAGGCATACGGTGTTGGCAAAATATAAGAAAATATTTGTTAATTATTTGTTTGCCAATTATCCTTGAAACTCTAGTTTCTAAGACTATATTAAAATTTGTAATGTTATATTAAATTTCGTAATTTTAATATTTAAAAGTAGCGTAAGCTAATGGGAAATTTACTTTTAACATTTATGTTCTAGGATAAATGATCAATATACATTTTATCGAGCAGAGAGTATGCGATGATTAATGTGTGAATTCATAAGAAAATTCATTCTTAAATAAATAATTTAAAATCTTATTAATCTAAATAAATCCGAGCTAGGTGACACATAAATTGAGTCTTAAAATATAAATGCAGTGAACAATTTCACATACAAATGGCGTCAGGGCTCGTTAAAAATAACCAGGGAAACCTGGCGGGTATTATTAGTAAATATTAACGTATCAAGGAACTATTATTTTATATGTCAGTACAAATTGCTATTAAAATTTTTATATTTGACTACAATTTGTAGTCTACAAAACACTTACAGCTATCATTACTTTATAAGACGTCTTTAATTATGAATAATAAAGTCATTAATAATATTGATTTAAACATTAAGTTTAAGTTTAAGTCTTAAATATTACTGACTCAAATAATAATTCAATGCTAATGTTATTCATTATATTTAACAAATAGTCTTATTAATGATTTTAGGTATTATAAAATCAAGGAATTGAGAGCAATAAAAATTATTAGTATATTATACTGCATCAAGTTAGTCATTTATTCAGTGAAATACATAACAAGTTATAATCACAAGTTGTTATAAAGTACTCATAATGGCGCATAATTTTAATTTAAGTAAACCCATACCCCCTGAACTGGTGGTAAGGGGTGCTGACAGTCACCTCCACTCAATTGGTTTATCACTATTTCAACCAAAATCTCATTGTAAAAGGAAATGCTTTTATAATCCAATCTTTATATTCATTATTATGTTTTACGAATTGATTAAAAGTTTAATTAAAATGTATATAAATTTAAACCATCACAGTGTTCCTGAAATATATCACGTAATACTGGTCAACCTGGATCATATCATGTCAACTGGTAACATATTTAATATATCAATCACAATGATAAGCATTTGTATGCTATCATGTCAATTAGTAAATTATTATAACAATAGAAATCATATAAAACCCACGGATTTGAGAGTATTTCAAATGATTTCGGGTTTCATTTCACCTGAAAGTATAGGTATTAATGATCGTAAACTAGTTATTAAATTGTGTAAAATATGCAAAAATTCATTAAAAGTAATGAAACCATTCATTGTTGTGTCAATAATTTTAGGTAACACAATAATTATAAATCTTCAATTAAATTCAAATATTGATAATTTAATGTTGTTGATTTCTACATTACTTTTACCTACAATACTACTGGCAATAGCTTTGGATTATGTACTAAATATAGTGTCTTATCAGTTATTTCATTATTTCTTTATTGTATATTATTTGTGTTGCAAAATTGACATAATTAACAAAGTAATTAGATGGGATCTGGATCATTTTAATGGCAAAACTAAACGAGTTTTACTGATACACAAAATTTCTGATGAATTAAACGCAATATATCTGGAAATTACTGAATATAATGTTATTTATTGGTCCAAATATTTATGTATTATGTTTACCACCATTGGTGTAATTACAGTCTCAATGTTATACACATTATTATTTAGTTTTCTTAATATTTACATGCGACCCATAGTATTGTTTGAATTTATATACTGGGCAACTTTAATATGGATATTAATTTATATGTCGTCACAAATATATTACAAAGCTAATTATACGTATTTATTATTGAATCGACTGTACGTTAAAAAAGATAAATATTTAAATACGAGACAAAAACTTAAGGTTTGCTTTTTATCATATTTATTGTATTAAATTATTTTATTTCTATAGTTATTGTCAGTAATGGAGAGAATAGGTATGAAAAGGATTGGCTTTTATTGTTGGAAACTATTTATTATAAACCAATTCAAGGGATACGAGGTTTTGTAATACTATTCCGGATCATTTACTATATAATATAAATTTATATCTAATTTCTATTTTCAGATAATCTCATTGATAGCGATATTATTTATTAAGATCTGCGAGTAATACTACTGTACATGACTATAAACCATCCAAAATATTATATATTACATAAATATCTTTTAAAATGTTATACAGTATCGCATAATATTTTGAATAAACACTGATATTTGAGTAAATGAATCAAATCAAATTGTATAAATCAAATAATTTATTTATAATATTTAAAAATATATTTTTTAAAATTAAATATGATTTTTGCAAGTAAATATTTAAAAATATTGGAGATTAAATCACTATATAGATTTGAATGGCACATTTTACTTGGATTAATAATCTATATTTATACCATTAATAATATTATGACATTATATTTCAAATTAAAGTTTCTAATGATTATGTTATCATTTCTAATAATATTTTCAATAAATGCATTAATAATAAAATATAAAATATCTTATTCATTAAAATAAGTAGTTTTCAAATAAACATAATAAAACTGAATAATAATTAACCCAAATATAAATGACCATGTGTATCAAAATTATGCTTTTTGAATTCATCATTAATGATTTAGATTTATAAATATTTTTAAAATTCATAACAAACAGAGTAATTATGGCAAATAATTTATAATAGATGTGAATAATTAATCAATATCACCATACTTGAATTATATCATTTTTAAAAATAATTATTTTATTGGAGTTTTCTCATATTTTTTTCAAAATTAGTTTATTTTAACTTATAATAAAATACAAATACTATTATACAGATAATAATATTGATTTTAGTCAACCCATACCCCATGAACTGGTGGTAAGGGGTGCTGACAGTCATCATCACTCAATTGGTTTATCACTATTTCAATTGCAATCTAATTATAAAAGACAATTATAGCCATTATCCCATGTTTTATGAAACATTTAAAACAATCAAAGTTTAATTATTATTTTTACAATTCTTGAAATTATTTTTTCTTTGTTACTGATATTATCATACATTTATAATAAATAACTTTTTGTTTTACCACTGTTTTTATTAAACAGTAGATAAGTATGAACATACACAAATTTAATATTATTTATGTTTATATTCAAGTGGTTATAAAGGATAATTATCTCAATATAAATACTGTATGTTTATTCAATTAGTTAATTATTATCTCTTTAATATGAGCATTGTACAATTATTGTTATTGATATTAAAAGTGATATTTTCTAGCTTAAAATTATCCACCTAATTTATTATTAACTTTTTAAATACTAAATATAAAGTAGTATATTAAACTTAAAAATAATTTTATTATCCGTAATAGTAATGCCAAATATAAATTTAATTTATTGTAAATCATTGTTTTTAAGGAATTCATAATATTCAATTAATATAATTAAAACAATATTTAGAATAAATTGAAATTTAAATGTATTAATTGTTTTCCACAATTAACATAAATTAAAATAATAAGTGATCCAAAAGTCATCGCAATCGCTAACAAATGGATTATCCAATACTCGACTCGTATTCGTTGGATTCAAGTCTTTAATATTGATTAAACTCTTATCAAATATTTGTGGCCATTGGGCGTCCGGTTTACTATAGAATAATAATGCAAATATTTCATATAATTAGCTAGGCAATTACGAAATATTGTAAATATGCTCAATTAATTATATTAACCCGTATTTAGCGAAATCAGTCCACAGTTTCATGACATATAAACTGAAATCCACGTCCAGTTGGGTATGAGTTTTGGGATACAGTTTGTCGACCCATAGGGGAAGTCCGTAAACAAACTCCAGTTCCGATCCGTGACAGATGCCCATAGTCTTCTCATCGCAACCCATGATTTTAGCGAATTGCGACTCATATGTCAGTTCATACATATAAACACCATTTTTTGAACTACTTTTTGCCGCATAATTTTTGGCCGTCAGATATGTCGGACATTTGACGTGAATGTCACCGAAAAACGCGTAAAACGCTTGCCTTAACTCATCCGATGAGTGATTTTTGTTGACATCTTTGAGATAAAATTGTCGGATTTGTTGCAAATCTAATCCGTGGTACGAGGTGTTTGTTTTTATAACCATATCATCGAAATCCTTATCAGTTATATTGTGGTGTAGTTGCGAAAAGCCTCCTAAAGCTAGTAATGAGCCCTCGTTTCTATTGACCCCGGCCATTATGTCTAAGTCTATGACATAGTATTAAATAAATAATAATGATTTTTAATACACATTATTAATTAATAGTAATTATACTATTTAGAAATCATTTACATTTAGTCAATATTAATTATGCTATTAAATTAATATACTGTATGCAAGGTACAACCTAGAAGTCATGTGAAATTGATAAGGCCTCATTCACAAAGTACGTACGCAAAATTTTGGTCAAAAATTGACCCCCCCTCCCCCCTACACGCCCATCGTACATAGGAGTTTAACATGGGGACATACGCTTTTGCATGACCCCCCCTCCCCCC